ACAAGAGTCCAAAGGGGAAGAGAACCCAGGTTCACTGTGGTTTTCCAATGAAGCTGTGTGGGTAATCAGTTAGTACCACTGTCACCTCAGCCAGAAGTCCACACAGAGGAGCACAAATGTAAAACTGGGAGTCAGAAACCCCACAGAGCCATAACACAATCACAGCCCTGTTCTCTGCACATCAAAATGCAACTTCTCCTACTTCCTCTGGCACTCAGGGTAGTTGACACTTTGTAAGTTGGGTTTTAGTTGTTTGTTTGGGGGTTTGTTTGTTTGTTTGTTTTTGTTTGTTTGTTTGTTTTTTATTTCCTTTGGGGTTTGATACTTTTCTATATCCACCTTGAATATTTGGTTAAACAAATAAAATTCAGAATGCACAAGTTTGAATGTTTAAGAATACATTTCCAAAGTTTCTCTTAAAGATTTTACATAGTAAAAGCATCTTGGGCTTCTCTCATCAAACACATCTCCATTTATCTCCATTTATCTATTCTGTTCAGGAATGTCAGTTTCAGGAACTGAATCCAGTTCCCACTATAAAACTATGGTGAGTAAAAATAAACCACAGCAGTGTACCAGTGATGGTTCCTACAGAACAGAAGCAGCTTCAGATTAACATACCCTGATTTGGTGGCAGGGCCAAGAATGGGCTTGACAATGACTTGAGTTTCCCATGCCTTACCCATTGTGGGCTGCAGGGAAGCCCTTGATAGATCACATATGGTAGCAAACAAATTAAAAGAAGCACTGAACATATAGAGACTTTTTTCTGTCCTGGACCTCACAAAGCTGCTTCATAGAATAAATTCTTAAACAGCTGCTGTTCGTGCTTGGACTGCACAAGCATCTCTCTCACATGCAAGGGGATTTCCAGATTTGCACATTTTGTCAGAAAAAAACCCCTTTAACGTGACTCACAGAAGTCAAGGGAACTAGGAGCCATGGAAGGACTGGTTGGATGTTCTCTTTCCCTCTCTGACAGACACAAACATGCACACAATTATGTGGAAGACACTCCATGCTTACAGTATGTCCTAGTTCAAAAGTAGGTTAACTTGAGGTTTTAAACAATTCTTTTAACTTGCAAAATCTCTTAATCTCTCCAGTCTGTGTATATCCATGTCTCTTTAATCTCCATTTCATAAGTCCATCACTGTGGTATATAGATGTATATCTATTTAAAAAGCAGTTCTCAGATACTAGCAGGCAAGGATATCATTAACTTGCAATGTGGGTGAGAACATTTCTATAAAAACACAGAACATCATTAGCAAAATAACAAACAGGCTCTACCAGGTTACACACATAGAGCAGCTGGAAGAACACGCTAGATTGTTTTTCTTTTGCTTCTAATAACATTTGTTACCTTTTTTTTATCACTGCCCATGGGGATTTCTAATTGCAAAGGAGCTTATTCAGCTATAAATTACACCGATACATTGGATGAGGTATTTTTATCTCACTCTTCATCCTGCTATGGCTAAGATTCTGATAGATATCTTCTCCTTATAACTGTAGTTTGCCTAATCTCATCTGTCACTGAATTCATTTAGCAGAACACCCTTAACGGAAAAAAAGGAGAGAACTATGTGCAAAGCTACTGAACATAATACACAGATGCTGTGTTTTGCCAACATTGTGTATTCTCCAGCAATTTAAGTGTGAAGTGTCATTCTAAACAGTTCCAAAGGCTCAAACATTGCAGAGCATCAATGGCAGAGATCAACTCATTTGCCCCTTTCCCATTTTTTTGCTCCCTCTCCTCCAATTTACACTATTAAATACGTCAGCATTTTAGAACTCTACAGTTTCTACACCTACACATGCAGATAAGCAGTGTATTCATGAGTGAGTTTTCAAGTTTTCCATGGGGTACTCAGCTGGACAGGTCTGCAGGTGGGAGGGCACTGGGTGCAGTCATTTAAAAAAAACAACACAGTACCAGAAGAGGCAGGGGAGTTACGATCACATCTTTAAGTTGCAGTTCAAGTCTATAAATGCCATGATCGTAGAATCATAGAGCGGTTAAGGTTGGAAGGGACCTTAAAGATCATCAGGTTCCAACCTCTTGCCATGAGCAGGATCACCTCCTAGACCAGGTTGCACAAAGTCTTATCCAACCTGGCTTTAAATACCTACAGGGAGAGGCCACCAACAACCTCTCTAGGCACCCTATTCCAGTGCCTTACGACCCTCATGATAAAGAATTTCTTCCTGAAGTCTAGCCTAAATTTCCCCCCTCTCAGTTTAAAACTTTGACCCCTTGGCCTATCACTGCCCTCTCTGGTGAAAAGCCCCTCCCCAGCTTTCCTGTAGGCCCCTTTCAAGTACTGGAAGACTGCTATAAGGTCTCCCCAGAGCCTTCTCTTCTCCAGGTTGAACAGCCCCAACTCTCTCAGTCTGTGTTCATAGAAGAGGTGCTCTAGCCTTTTGATCATCTTGGTGGCCCTTCTCTGGACCAGCAAATGATGCTGAGAACCATTTGGCAATATCATGTACTATTGTTGTTGTCCTAATGTTCTTAGAACACAAAGGAGGTAATAGGAGTCAGAGTAAATTCCTTTAGAGCTGTCAGTTTCACTGGATGAAATAGAGAATTGTTAGGGCGTAGAGATACTACTCCAAATATTACCACAAGAATGATGAGACTGCACACAGCCCATCTCTTAAGGAGTGAGCTCTGAGTCTTAGATCCTCTCCACTTGAACTCTCAGAATCATAGAATCATTAAAGTTGGAAAAGACCTTTAAGATCAAGTCCAACCATTAACCTAACTCTACCAAGTCCACTGCTTGACCATGTGACTCCAGCACTGGCCTGGGCAGCCTGTTCCAGTGCTTGACAAACCTTTCTTAGGTGAGTTTGTGTGAAGAGGTAAGGCAGGAAGTCAGGAAATAGATTAGATCAGATCAGATAGCTAATGCTATTGAGTGTCTGGGTGTCCATCTGGAAATGTGTGCTTATTTGCAGGAGAAGACACGTCTGAGTAGGATGAGTCAGGACTGAGACAGATGACAACATTACACACCTGCGGAGTACAAGTTGTTTCACCATGGAAATTAACCTGAATCCTCAGAATCACGTCTGCTAAGAGAATAGTTGAGCCTTGATGTAAGTGGGGAAGAGAGAAATGAACCAAAGTGGACTTGTGGTTGTACAGAAAGCCAGGTTAAAAATGCAAGTTATCCTCAAAGATGTCAGTCAGTTATAGCAACCATATTAGCTTTCAGTCAAGAAGTCTCTTGACTATTCAAGTAGGTATGAGCCATACCAGGACGGTATCACTGGAATCATGCAAATCTGGTTAACTCCAGCTACTTCTTTCACAGTGAAATGACAGCAATGTGGAAAGTTATGTCACTAAAACTAGGGCTGCAGTGTGTGAAACCGGTGGTCCCTGCCTTAGCCCTGACAGAGAGGTCTGAAGTCTGTGGTTGCTTCAGGAGGGTGTCAGCAGTCACACGCTGGAGCCTACACATGCTGGAATTTTGAAGGGCATGCTCACCCATCAGTGCAGAAATTATCTCAGGAATATGTCTGTGCATTCCTTGCAATCCAGTGTATCCCAGGCTGGTGGATGCATAGCACATCACCAGCAAATCTGCACACAGAGAGCACCCATTCATTAAGACCTGTTTGCATCCAACAACCTGTTTCTAACTATTGGTCCAATCATGCTTTGAGACATGTGTAAGCCCTGGAAAAATAGACCAGTTCTTCTCCCTAAAAAAATCCTAGATGGAAGAAGATGACATTTGTAGGGAAGCCTATCTGCAAAGTAGCTTTTCAAATTGCCTTTGTGCAGAGCTGGTTAAGAACATTTTGTTGTGGCACGTAGACCATCAGAAAGCATCTTTCAAAGCATCCACCTTTTGCAAGTCAGCTTCATTTACAGAAAATGCTCGGAAGACCTAAAGGTCTGGTGTACAGCCTCAGGAAGAAAACACCTCCTTCAACTAAAACAAGAGCTTAAATGAATTAGAATAATTATTCAGTGTAATTGAATGTGTAATAGCTATGGCTACATTTATTTCTAGATTGTTGCATGAACTTACTAGAGTTTTGTGTGTCATGTAGTATCTAATATGGTTTGAACCAGGGGCTCTGGAGATGATTCTCTATTT